GACAAACGTCAAATACAAAACAAGACTACAAAACTTTATTCTCATCAATAACAAAGTTTTCAAAATGTTTAAATTACAAGCTCCAAAAAGAAAGTTCAAACTTCACTTAATAAATATTCATTGTAATTTAAATATTCATTACAACTTTGTTACGCAGAAAATTCTTTGAATATTTCAAGTTCATTAAAATTTTAAATTATTCGCCAATGTACAGAACAGTACAGACAATAAATAATGAGTTTCAATATAAAATATTAATCGAAATCTATAAATCAAGTTTCTAAAATTGCCATACATGTGTAGCTCTGAAAACATCCAATTTTGGAAGTCAAATCAGATAATAATAGCAAAGTCATGTCTGAAGAGAGTAAATAAGATAATGTTCTTTAGAATATCAAAGGTCGTTTATTTTACGAGAACAAATTCAAACAGCAGAGACAATAAAGTTTAATATTATCATCAAAAATCACACAAATATAGTCATTCAGACGACTAAAGCATTATAATCTCATAAGAATGAAGTAAAGTTCATAAATAAAAGGAAAAAGAGACCAAGGAACCGACTTGACTTTTATTGAGATTAATTTTAAGTCCTCGACAGTCAATGCAACTGTATCAATATGGCAATGTTTGTTTTATCAATGCTGCATATTTGCAATAAATTTCTAAAAAGGCATATTTATGTAACCGATGAGAGAATCAGACATACAGGCACAACAGAAGATACAGAAGTACCATAAAAAAAATCAATTTTCACTTTAAGTCAACATGAGTAGTCTCAATGCACTGACATAAAATCCTTTCGTCTTTCAGCTTTGTACATAGAAACATACAGCACTATGAATATAGTTTCATATCTAAATAGTATATTCACCAAGAGCTTATCATTTTATACAAATGATGACAATGAGAGAGACAGAAACGTCGCTACGACGATTAATACAGAATTTCCAGAGCTTTTCAACAACATCATAATCAACTTAAAGTCGCAGTGTCATTCGCGTTTAAGACACTTTTGTATTATAGCTTTATGGACGTACGTAAAGTTAAAGTAGCATTTTTTTTTTGTGAAATTAGCTTGTAAGAGGAAAAAATAGCTGTAAAGAAGGAAAATTTTGAGGAAAAGATATATGAAAGAAAGCAAAATGAGTTAAATTTTAATTTTTGATTGAGTGCTGTCGTCAGCTCGCAAAGAAAAATGCCAAAATAAAGAAGGATTAGGTAGGAAGTACGTAGATTGATTTGAAACGCATTTATTGATGATTTTAGTCATTTTAAATGTTTAACGGTGGTTTCAAATTAATGAAGCAAAAGTATTGACTGGTTTTGAAAATGATGCGAAAAAATAAATTGTAGTGTTTTGATTTTGAATTTTAAAGAAACATTGCATAAATTTTAAAATTAGGAAAATAGTTTGAAATACTAGAAATAGAAACCTTAAAGTTGTTAAAAGAAGTTTATGGACGAAGATTATACTGAGATAAGATGAATTCAATGAAAAATACGATAGATTTAAAGGTAAAATATCACAATATTATTTTCATTCAAAATTTTTGAAATTAGATTCAAATTTTTGCTACAAAGACCGAGACAAACAGCTCAAAATAACTTCCAATTTCTTAAGAATGCTGCCAAATAAATAAAAATTAGCTAAAGTAGTGTAAAAAGAAGGAAATATTTGATTCTAATTTCAGCAATTCAATCACCTTCTCAAGGACTATAATTTACTTAATTTTCACGTAAAATTACTTGCCAACAGCAAGAAAATCGACTCAAAGAACTTTTTTTCCCATTCCATTTACTGCTTTTTGCACAAAGAGAAGAAAAATTATTGGTTACTTGCTATTATTTTATGAAAGTTATTACTTAAGTGCATAATTTCTTTCAACCCTTAAATACTTAACAAATCTTAGTGGTAAAAACTTGATGGTAAATCACAAGAACTTAAAGATAACGAAAAGAGGAAGAAAATAAAATGAAATAATTGTAATCTTTCCCTCAAGACTCGTCATGAGATTATTACAAGATTATGGTGATTTTGGCATTCTTAAAACTACTATTTTTTAACACTCGACTGTTCTCATAGACGTTTTTATTCCATGCTTTCCTGCTACAACTTTTTTTTTGCAAATATATGAGAATGAAAGGGGGAAAAGGAGAAACAGAAAGGCAAACGCATGTAGCATAGTGAAAACTTTGACCCTCTTTTTTGCTAATAAATAAAAAATCGAAAAGTTGTTAGCATGCAAGGGATGAATTCAGCGTGTTTGTATGTCAGTAAGGGATACAAATTTATTTGTTATTTCTGACTGAATTGCTTTGGTATTTTAGCAATATTCGACATGTTATACATGCGTTTGTTTTAGTTTTAAAGGAGGATATTCGAAGCAGAAAATTTGTTCCAGAATGTGGTTAAGAAGAATTGACTTTTTATGGAAGCTATTGAACTAATGAAAATGTCTATGTTTCGTATATGTGGGGAGTCTGTGCGATTCAATTTAGTATTTTATGTTGATTATTGATTTGAATTATTGAAGAACAATCTGTATAGGGAATATATTGAGCACTTTTAAACTATATTCAATTAAAAAATCATCAGCATAGGCATGCAGATTTCTCAAACTTCTACTTTTAGGTTCGCTGAGTAAAAAACTAGCTTCTACTTTTTTGAAGGAGTTGCATTTAAGATTTAGTAATACAACTTAGGTTGAGAATGATCTTGGTTTTATAATAATCGTTTTAGAGTTATCACAATGCAGTTAAGTGGATAGTTTACTTGAAATTGCTGCCGCTTGGTCACAATCCACTTTACCGACATGTGTGTTAATCAGAGAATCAATTAAGAATCTGAATTAGTAACTTTTCTTCAAACCTTTCCTTTTTTTGGACCCATTAGCTCATTACGTAACACAAAACATACTTTTTGATCCTTATCTGCAACTTCCTAATTTTATATTTTCCATCAAAAAATAAAAACTGTTTTTTTTGAATTTTCACATAACATCAAACGCCCTCCAAACCCTTTATTCAGGGGGAGGGGGCCCACAAACTGTTTATGCAGCAAACAATTTTCATCAAGCATTCAAAGATGAACATCCAATCCTAAATTCAATTCTTCCAAATACCTTGCCAATCCAAGCATCCAAAATGCCAGCTCCACAACTTATTCACCCAAAAACATTCCATAGAAAAATAAGAACATAAGTTATGACTTCTTCGTTTTTTTCGGGATAATACTAAAATTAGGTTTTGCACGTACATAGTCGCACACAGCTCAATTGGAAAAGTTTCGGTAGGAAAGAGAGGCAGAGCGAGAGAGAGAGAGATAGTTGTAGAAATCCAGCAACAACAAACAAATAAAAAATAAGAAACTTAGCTGAAAGTAATTTGGAATGAGAAGCGAGAAAGCACAAAGATGAAATAATCCTATTTGTGCTTTGTACTTATTCCTTTTTTTTTGTTTCTATCTTTTTTTTTTGGAACTAAAAAGGAATAGGGAATGAGATGGAGGATGTGAGAGAGAAAGAGCAATAAATTAATTGTTGTGTAAAGAAGAAAATTTTTTTGGCATGAAAATTTGATGATGAACGAGGAACTGTATTTAATGATAATGAGCTGATGCTTTTGCCTTTGTTTAATAATTATGAGATTTAATTTAAAAATTATTTTTTGAGGTCATTAGAACTTACATTTTGGTATACATTAAAAATTCAATACGATGATTTTTTTTTACATATTTTACACACATGCACATCAATTATCAAATTTTCACTTTCAGCTCCATTTTTTTGCACACTGAATATTTTTTTTTCGGAACTAAAATTTTCTTTCTTCTTTGAATATTTTTCTTTAAATTTATGATTTTTGGTGGTATTGTAGAAAATTCGAACCTTATTAATTCTCACGAACTGCACATTTTTCACAGTTTTTAACAAGTTTTAAAATTTAAACATTTTTTTTCCTACTGAAAAATCCTTTTTTTCCTTTCCTTCACTTCACCAAGATTTCGCCAAGAGAATTGAACCTCCGAATTTTCACACAATACTGAATGAAAAATTTTTCAGCATTAAAAAAGCACCCCGCCCTGTTTAGTTTTGTTCCATCGACAGGAAAAATTTATACGACTGGAATGGTTCATGTGTCTGTATATATATTACAAGGATATCAATGCACGCACACTATCAAAGAAGGCAATACTGTACATTTGATATTTTAAAAAAAATATGTTTTGATGAGTTTTTCAACTTTATATCATTTAATTTTCACTAGTTCCTAAACTGTCACTTAACCTTAATCGTCTATTGAATCAAAATCTCTTAATTTAACGATAAAGTTCTTAGTTCTTCCACTTAAATATAATAATAAATTAAATCGTACGATTTGTATCCTCGAAATTCCTTTTCTCTCTTCTTTTTCTGAAATTTTTCATTCCATCCTCATTTTTTCTTTCGGAAGACAATTTTCTCTCATGTTTTGGAATTTTTCTCTCGTGATGGAAAGGATGTGGAAAGCATGTGACGGAATGTTTCGAAAATGATGTCAACGAATGATAACGAATATGAAATTCCATCATAATAGCGTGATATACTTGGAAATAGTTAGACGCATTAGTTTTATCTATGCCGGATACACATTTTTTACTATCGGTCTATTTTTTTATTGGTAGTTTTAAAATCTTGATAGCGACAACTTTATAGTTTTATTAAATAAAATCATGAGATTTGCGATAAGATAGACCTTAGACTTGATTTCTTTTTTCACGAAATAGTTTTTATTTGTGATTTTTTAACATTATTAAAATAAAAATTGAAATTTTATTGAATTTTAACAAATTTCCTTTCGATGACTGGTCCTCGATTTGCAGCTGATAGCTGATTTAACTTTAACGCGAACTTTCTAGTCTTCATTTAGACCTGAAATGTTTTTTTTTTCTAATAAACTTTTAAGATATCCATTGAAAAAAGTCAGTCCTCTTCAGTTCCTTTATTTAAACATCAATACAAAATTATTCTCACAAGTTTCACATTAAAACATGAAAAAAATTTAAAAAAAAATAATAAAATAATTTTAGTCTTCGGTATCAGATGTAGCATTGCTTATGGAACGACTGGAGGTGTTGGTGGGACAACTATGAAATAATAGAATTATTTATCATGTTAATGAATTTTACATATTATGTGCCGTGGCATAAAAAAAAATTGGATAAAACTTACCTGGTGCTGTTGGGACTGAAATTGTTGTCTGGAAGTGCAAAAAGTTTCGAAAAATTTAGAATTTAATTACATTTTGTAGAAAATTATGAATTTATAGCTTTAAAGATATTCAATATAAATAGAAAAATTATTTTTGATTAGGCTTTCCTATTTGATTGGATAGTTCATTTTTAATTTGAAATTTAATTCCTTTTTAAGCAATCCTTAAACTTGGAAAACTTAATTTAAATTTAAATGATTCAAATATTTGTTCAGATTATAGCTTTTGTGGCTATAAAAGTATTAATATAGCTCAAAATGGCAAACAAACACACCTCTTACAGACCTTACGTTAAAACCCCAAATTTTTGAACAATTTAATATCAAATCATGAATTTTTTATGGCTCCGATATAAAGTTGATTGCGATTTAACTTACATCTCCAGCAATAGTGGTAGCAACAGTAGTAGCGGTTGTATCAGCTCCAGCTGTGGTATCTGGAGGTGGTGTAGGAATAAATGTAGGCTCATCGGTTACAGTGGTTGTTCCATCTACTGGAAGCGTTGTTGTAATATCAACTGGAAGAGTCGGTGTGCCGTCAACTAAAGTGGTGGTGGTTCCAACAGTAGTTTGATCCTATTTTTGTAAACATAATTAAGAATTGAATTATTTTTATTTTTTTGCAATTTTTATATTTTTTAAAAATTCTTTTTATTTTGCTTCTAAGTTTAAAATACTCACAGAACATGTGAAGCACATGTTTTTTGAAGTTGTGCAATTCAATGTGCAAGCATTAAAATGAGGTATATGTGCAGGACACAAATGAACACCTTCACGTCCAAAAGCACAAACTATATATCTTGCGCAGTCCGTTGGATGAGGTACAACTTGTCGTGGCTCATTCTTAATAGTTAAAAATATATAAAATAATTAAATTCACTTTAAATTCACAAATTGTATATTTTTCAAAAATTTACTGGTTGAGTGCAGGTTTGAGCTGAAGCACAGGCAATCATGCCGAAAATTAATGCCAAAATAATTTTCATTTTTTTTTTTCACTTTTTTTTGTTCTTCACTTTAAAACTGTTTAAATTATTTTAACAAATTTATGTGTGAGACATGCTTTTTTATATTAAATCTTTATCAGAAACTTATCAAACAAGCTTTAAGCTTCCAATTGATTTATTACGATAAAAAATATTAATATTTTGTGAAAATCTGATAGCTTTAAGGCTCTACATATTATAGTGATTGATAAACAAGTGAGGTCGATGAATTTTATTATTTAAATTATGGATTCGTAGTTGGGGTTGAAGGCAATGAGGCTGAAAATTTTAATTTTTGATTTTAATTTTTTTAATGAATTTTTGTAGTTTTTTAAAGTTTTTAAAGTAATTGATTTTTTAATAAATTAATTTAAATTTTAAATGATTTTTCAAAAATTAAAATTCAAAAATATTTCGAAAAACTGTCAAGATATTTAAAATTTAAAAAATTATTATAATTTTAAATAACTTTCAAAAATTAAATATTTCGATAAGTAACAAAAAAGAGAAAAAATTGGAAAGAAAACTTTGAAAAAATTAAAATTTTAAAAGCTTTTTAAAATACAAATTTAATATTTGTTAATTTTAAATAATATGAAAAAATTCTTACATATTTTGAAAAATCTTAATTCAAATTAAATGTCAAACTTCTTTTAAAGTCTGCCGAATATGTCTTCTTATTCTCCACTAAAAAGTTTGAGGATTAATTCCTTTATCTAATCATCGATGACTCCATCAATTTTCTTAAATGTGTTGACAATATGTGACAACATTTTGTAGTTTTCTAATAATAACTGGAATTTTTAACAAGAAAAAGTTAAGCACACTATACAAAGATTTGCACGATAAGATAGAAATTCAAGTCTAAGGTTTCTCATTTCCTGATTACTTTTGGTGAAAGCTACAATCCCGGTGAACACAAAGAAGGCTAATGGACTAAATGGATGCTAAATCAAACCTTGTGTTCACAGATATTGCTTTAAAATTCACAATAAGTTCCATTTATACAAAAAAAAAATTTAAATCCTTAAAACACTATGCTCAATTTTATTAAATTGTCTCCATTTCCTATCCACACATTTAACTCAAATCCACACCAAGTTCTTCCTCCTCTATATGATTTAATTGTTTAAAAGCTGGAGATGTAGGCAAAAATAATTTCATAGTTGTTTCAAAAATTGTCGGTGCAGTTGGAATGTTCGTTATATCTGCATTAGTTGTCGACAATCCTGTTGTGGTTGGCACTAAAGTAGATGTTTCTGCTAAACTTGTCGATGTGGTCAGCAAGGGAGGTGTTGGGATTCGGATTGTACTTGTTAAAATAGGAAGTTCATCATCAATGCTCATTTTAGTCACAATTGGAGCTTTGTCAGGAACAAGTGTGGATAAAATTGTGGTTAATAATGAAGGCGTTGGATGAATATTCATGCTAGTTATAGAATCATTATCAGGATGCGAAGACGAATGAGTGGATGTTAAAATTGGTGGATTTGGAATTGTTGATGGAATTATAGGATTACTTTCACTGAACTTAACACTCGTTGTGGTTATATAAGGTGGTGTTGGATTCTTAATTAAATTTGTTCCTATATTATGCACTGAATAATCCTTTCGTTCGTCTGGCAAACATGCTGATAAAAAGGGATCAAATTTCATTCCACGTGGACATGTTAAGAGCAGCAAAAAGCCATTGTGACACTTGTAGAACAAAGAAGAACTCATCTCATGCGGTAAATTTTGTGACGTCGTGGTGTTAGGCTGTGAAGTAAAACTTTTTCACACCAAGTTTGACATTATTTTGTCATGCTCTCACCACTTTGCAACGATCATCAAATTGTTGACAATAGCACAATGAAATTAAGAGAAAACTTAAAAACTTTCTCGACATTTTTCTGAGGAATCTTGTCAGCACTCATAAAATGACTAAAGCAAATTGAATGTATGCCCTGTGCATTTATTCGCTGACTATTTCACAATGCACATCACAATCTAATCAGCCTAATCTCCTATGTTGGAATTAAAAATTAATTTTTATGATATCTTCGAGCATCAAACATTCATTCAATGTGTTTTTCGTTTGCTGTGCAACATTGAATGGTTGAAGGAGAAATTGGATGTAGACAATATTGTTGTTGTGAGCATTTTGTGGTAGCTCGTTTTGCTGGAATTTGGATTGATTTAATAAGATTTTGTGGAAATCAAAAATAAATCTTGTTTTTTGTGCGCAAATATTCATTCAGTAAAATTTAAAGTGCGTTCAACAAACAAAATCAGAAATTGATAAAAATTTGAATTCCAAATATCCGTTAAAAGTGATAATAACTTCATTTATGAATCCTGAAAATCAAAAATCTTTAAAAAAGAAATTAAAGTTCAGTAAAAATTCAATTAATATACTTTTTTAATCTTTTGTTTTTTATTAATTATGATACAGTGTTGTGTTATTTTTTATATTGATATAAAACAGCCATTAAATTTATATTTTTAAACAGTTTTTTTTTCTTTCATAATTATTTTATAGTTTCAAAATACCCCATTTATTTTTTCTTATTTTCCTTTTATCAATTATTAAATTTTAGCATTTTTAATCTTTTTTTTTCTTCTTTCTCAAGTTTTGGACTGTTGAATCAGTTTTTTATTCTTTCCTCAATTCTTTTACTTTTCAATCATCAATCAGATAATTTAATTAATATATATAAAATCATTTTCACATATGAAAAAAAAACAATGACAATAATTCATAATAATAATTATAATAGAAGTGAGAGAATAATAATTATTGGTTAGTTATTATTATTATCATTATGTAAATGAAAAAGTAAATCATTATCGTATTGAATAATAATCGTATATATAAAAAACAAACCATTTTAAACCTATAATTTAAACTAATTTTAGAATTGAGAGGAGGAGGGTCACTTTAAATATTATAAATTTGTAGATTGAACCCCAAAGAAAGGTTTTGATTTCTTAATAATATTGCACTCTGAATTTAGAGTTTAAACATTTTTTAAGGACAATTTATATTCTCAGAGGAGTCAAAACTACTCAAATTGTGAGATTTTATTAAATTTGAGTCAATCTTGATTATCTCTTTAATTTTTAAAATTTAAAAGCTTTTATTTTGCCACAATTGAATGATTAATAGCTTAATACACTTCCAGCAACCCACCTCCAACATAAAAGCTACACGAGAAATTATAAATAAAAAATCTTAAAGAAAGAGAATATTTTCATTATTGCAAAACGTGCCAAACTAGTTGTTTCTCTAAACTGAATAAAATTTCATTCCTACTCTAAAATTCTCCATCACTTACTCGAAAAATTTCTAAAATTTGTTTTCTTATATCCATTATTTTCAAAAAGGTACATCATCTATATCATGTGTAGTTTGCATTTCATCATATATAATATTTATTTTTTTTTTGTTTGTTTTCTTATTGCAAAAAACTGAGAGACTAAAAATGAAATGAAAGGAACAAAAATTACTACGCATTTATAATTTTATTTATCGTTCACAGAATAATATTTATCATATTTCATTCATCAGCATTATGCCTACATCATTTTTTTGTTACTTGTAAAAAAGAACTGAAAAAAAATCTATTTTTTTTTATTTAATCCTATTGTGGTATTGTATTTTGTCAAAAAACATTTAATCATCTTGCATTTTCTCTCTTGTATAGGTATCAAAGTAACTTGAAAAATGTCTCATCTTAATTTTTTTTTCTTCTACTTTTATGTTAAATGGCATTTACAATTTTTTTTTCTCTTTCGGAATATATAAAGACTTGTAGATGTGGTAAAATTGGTGGTAGTTTTTTTTTGTGGCGGGGTCAGAGGAAAAAGGTGCATAATTCACCAATTAAGCGAATAAGTTTCTATTGTAGATGCGAAAATTAACAATTAATTTTCGTTCAATGAGTGGAAATCTTTTGGTCAAAATGAGTTCAAAATTCAAATTTTTCTACTTTCTAACCTACAAAATTGTTTAAAATTTAATTTATTGAAGGTTATTAACAAATTTTTGGATTATCAGCTTAAATGTTAATAAGATTTGAAGTAAATGAGTTTAATCTATGCGAGATTCAAACTATGAAGCTTTTAGCCGATGTTCAAGTTGTTCAAACGATGTTGCTTAATTTTTAAAATGATATTATTAAAGGAATTTGGTTTAAACTTCCTCTCAGATGACTGTAGTTTGTCTGGATTCTGTTAAAATTTATTAACTTTTGCAGAAGGTTCAAAAATCTTCCAAAAAGTTCAAAACTCTTCAAAAAAGTTTAAACCGATTCCAAAAAATTCAAAATGCTCTTCAAAGTCTGCTTTAACCCTGCCGCAATCTACAAATTAAAGCTAATATCATTTTTGCTCCATTTTTAATCCAAAACTTTTGCCAATCTCAAGCCGAAATCCATAAAAATGCTAATCACCCTACAACAATCTCCTACTCATTTGACCTCAACAAAAATTCCCAACCCTTGATTTACATTATTTTTGCATGTATATAGTAGTATGGTAGATTTTTTTTCTGGCATTATTCATTTTGTAATAAAAAAATATATGTATATACTTATGTGTTAATTCACCTACAACTCTAAGGTTCTCTATATCAATTTTCATTACCCCAAAAGAATTTAATGTTAATTTTACTTTAGTTATTTTTTTGTTGGTTGTATAGCTAATTACTTTTAATTAATTCTTGCCAAGATTATTAAATTTCTCATCATCATCATCTTTTTTGATTAATTTGTTTCATCATTTAAAGATACACGTGTTAATGTATGTATGTATGTGTGTGTGTTTTTTTTTTTGAATTAATTGGGCGAGTAACATTAATATTAATTATTGAATATTTTTGTTTTCCTTTAATTCATTCTTCAATTTTGTGTTCTTATTTCATAATAAAAACTCCACAGATTAAAAACGCATATTTCACAAAGAGTTTGTTTTGTCATTAGTTATTTTAGAAAAAGAAATGTGTAAGAAATACAGTCTCTGCTTTTATCTGTTATATCTTTTTATTATAAGTTTCATTTTTTCGTTTTTTACTTTCAACTTTAATTCCAAATATTTATTTTGCTACTTAAAGTGATTTTGGAACACCTACTAAATGGTTTGTTAGATAAGATGAAAGGATTAGATTTCTTAAATTCAATTGAGTATCTTTCCTTCTGCAAAGCTTGTTATTATGTTGGAGAAAGTTTATTCCTACTCAATTTTACGAAAGGTAAAGCCATTCATAGCTAAATTCAATGATCTTATGAAGAATGTAGTTGCTTGGCAATAGAAAGATGCTTTTAAGGGTAAGAGTTTAAGGCTCTTGTTATGCACAATCTTTCTAGACAATTCATTGTTGAGCCTCATAGAAGAATTTGCTGGAAATTCCTTCAGTTGTATTTGATACTGTTTCCTTGCAATCAAAGCTTTTCCAATTTTTATTAGAATTTTAACAAATTGAGATAAAAATTGGCAATTCTACAATTCTTTTGAACTTAGTTATTGAAAATCTTCGACATTTTTCATAAACGAATTGTGTCAATAATATCCAGAAGTGTACAAATGATGTAAATTCATTACAACAGTTATAAAAATTCTCACAAATGATGTAATAAGATTATACACATGTCATGGTTCTGTTTCATTTTCACATATTTGTCTGCCTTAAAGGGTTAATTAACCTAGTTATTGCATAACAATGGATAGTTGACATATGTAGGAGATTCACTGCTATAAATTGTAGAAATTTTTTTCTCACAATTTCCTAATGTCCTCAATTGAATTCAAAAATTCCAAAAAAAAATTAAAATTAAATAAAAAGAAATAAAATAAAAATTGTTATTTTTTTTGGTGTAAACTATGATAAAAGAACTAGATTAAGATTTATTATTTATTTTTCAATAATATATATTTTGTTAAATCACATCAAATTTTATAGGCCATTAACACATTGTTTATAGTGCTGATTTTAATAAAGTTTTTAGTTTTTTTTTCTTTAAATTTCTCCCTAAGATTTTTTTTTGTGAACATAGATTTTACTTGTTTATCATCAGAAAGATTAAATTTGTTCCTTAAAAAGTTTTTTCTTTTTGTTTGTTTTTCAAATATACATATTTAAATTATAGATGCAAATGTTAAATCTGCTTTAAGTGACTATATATTAAATATCATTAATTTATTTATTTTTTTCATTGTTTTCCTCAAACACATAGTTTTAAATATAGAATAATAGACACAAACGAATTAATAATTTGTGAGAAATAAACTCAAATATTGTACTGTATGGTAAGCGAAAAAGGGGGTTTATTTGGAGATGAGAAAAATAAATCTTCTAGATTTGGAATTTTTTTGAGGTTAGCTTATTTTTTTGGCGGGTTATTTCAAAATTTTGAAACTTTTTCTTATCTTTTAAGATAAATTCTGAATTTATTTCAAAAATTTGTAGCTTTTTTCAAAACTTTCGAATGCTGCCTAATCTCAAAAAAAAATTCAAAGTTTTCAAAACCAAAAAACCTACTCAAAAAAATTCCAAATCTAGTCTTAAAAATCTTAACACAAAAATGCAAAAAAACAAACAAAAATCGTATAAAAAATTGCTAAAATTATTAATTATTATATGCAGTCGTATTACAAATTTTAATAACATTTTTTATTATTATCGTCTCATTCTACTAAATTTAATGAAGAAATCATCATGGAATTTATTAGTTTTGGTAAGGATTAAAAGTTTCTTTTTTGATTTTTCATCAATTTTAAGTTCGTGATTTGAAAGAATTACAAAAAAACAATTCTATCAGTTAAATTGTTAATAATATTCACCATATTTGCTACATGTTTCATCATAAAATTGTACAAAAAAGCCCATAAAAACCATTTTTTGCATTTCTTGAATTGTTTTCTTCTTTCTTGTTTTAAGGATCATATTTTAGTCAGTATTAAATATTTTATTTAATTATATACACGTGTTTAGTTTCACATTTAAAAACTTCAAGAATAATTACACACAATTATACATTCATAATTTCTTTCCATCTTAAATTTTGTGTTGTTTCATCATCTTTTCTTATCAATTCATCATCTATCGTCTCATCTAATTTAAATTTTGTTGTATTACATATAATATATATTATTTATCATTGTTAATCTCTAAATCACTAAGTCCATTATAATTAATATAATGTTTTTTTTTTTGTAAGGCATAAGTTTATGTATTTATTAAATATTTGTTTATCATCTTCCCAACCATCGAAATAATAATTATTATAATTTTATATCATAATTCCCATCTATTAGGTAGGTACCTGTCTATTATTATTATTTATTTATTTATTCATTAATAAAATATTTATTCATTAGGTTTTTTTGTAATTCTTCTCTTTTTTTGTAGTAAAAAAATTAGAAAAAGAGAAAGAAATTTAATTTTTGGGGAGCTAATAGGAAGCAAACATATTAATTTGTAGAGTTGATTCAAAAATAATTCGTACTTTCTTTTTATAATGATGATAATAGATATATCTCAATATGTGTGTGTGTCATTAATAAAATAATTAAATTAATTATGATGAAAAGTACAATTAGTGATAATAAGTATGAATATTTAATTGTATGTATCTTCATCAAAATGAGGACAGTTCCTCACGAAAATGGTAGGTTCTTTGAATATTTCAATGACTTTATTTGATTTTGTATGAAAATTGAAATCTTTTTGGCTATCAAGCTTGATTTTCAAGTATAATTGCTGTATTTACTCACCAAAATATCAAATTCAACCTTTCAAAATCACAAATTTGACTTGAAATGCTTAAAATTTGCCATTTTGATAAAGTTTTGAATGTAAAAATTCTTTGCTGAATTAACTGAATGTTTTGAGGAATTCGCTAAATTTGCTGAATCTCTTACTGAATTCAGCGCATTTTGTCAATTTTCTTTGAATTGCAAAACATTTTTCACACAAAATCCACATAAACTCAATGGAATCTACATTAAAGGAGGTTTATAGGATAGGAGAAATGTAATTTTCCCCAAAAAAGCTTTTCAATCGAATTGAAATTTCCCAAAATGCAACCAAAAATTTAACAATCAATTAGAAATTTGAAATTTATTGTACTTTAAATTGTGTTAGTGCATTGGTGTTGTAAGAGAATCACATCTATTGAATCCCTTTTGGTATTTTTATCTAAAAAAAATCATCAAGGAAATAGTCATTCCTCATTCTAATATTATTGACAGCATCACGAATGATAATAATATATTTTACTCCTAGATAATATTCTATACATAATTTAATTTTTTTTTATTTTAACTCATTATTGCCATCCAATCTAATTGTCTTCAGCACAATTTAATGTCTACCATAATCCTACAAATGTCTCAAAAATATTATCTAAACTTCAAATTTTTTCCGGCAAAAATGAGCTATCAATGCAAAGGATTTAACATCCCTTGACTTAGTTTCACATCAATACTATTACAATCATTTATTTTGTGTTACCTCTTATTCATTATAATTTGTAGTTTTCATCATAAACATTGAAATTCAAACTTCCATTGACATAAAAATTTAAATTTCTGCACAATTTATTATTTTAATTTTAAACATTTCTTTTTTTGTGAGTGTAAAATTTAAATTGATCGTTAATTCAGTCACAAATTGAAGATAATTTCAATTCTCGTTTAATTAATCGTAGTATATGTTAATTAGATACACATTCACTTCCGAACGGAATCTCGGAAGATATTTTCTCATCGATGATTAATGTTTAATTATTATTTATTTTTGAAAAATTGAAAACTAATTCTTTTTTTAATTTTAATGAAAACAATTCCAAAACAAATGTATTTTGTTCAGTACTATATCGTATATATCTGTGTATATAGATACTTTCAAGCACGTGACATCACTAAAGCATTAAAAGAATTTAAAAAAGAAAAACAAAAAGAAAATCCACTCGGTTATAAAAAAATTGGGATTTATAAAAAATAAGAAAAAAAATTAATTTTTTATGTTATTAATACATGTCATATATAAATTGTTACTTAATCTAAGCTCATTCCCATCACACACTTAAACAAAACTATTCTAGGTTCCCCCAATTATTTAAAAATAAAAATCTATCACTCCCATTTTTTAACTTTTTTTTTCTTGTGTGAGTATTTTTGGGTTTGCAAAATGAAGCGTCTTTGACTTGAATCTGGATTGTTGACATGTAAAATTATTTAATATCTAAAATGCATTGTAGGTGCATTGTGACATTCAATTAAAGATTTCTCTTTAATGCTCAAGAATTTTAATCTTAAATTTTAAGCGTAAACCTCAAGGTGCTAAATTGTCTGTAGCTTCTGAGTTTCTTAAAACTCGTAATATAGAATTAAGTATGGGATATTTTGAAAATTTGTTTTAGATTTTAAACCTTAATTGTTCATGTTGATTCCATAATAATCCAGGAATTGCTAGATTTGTTCCTAATTTTTGGACTATACTTAGGTTTAGAATCAGTGTTGAAAAATACCACGAGAAGATCCAGCTATGAAAAGACTTAATGTAATATTATGACTTTAACTGGAATCAACATGCTTTGTTTGTTCCTATCTACTTTAAATTAATTATTAATTTTTGAGATGATTTTTCTCTCCAGGAGTTCCTCAACTTTGAATTAGAATATTAAGCAAATTTCATGTCATCAGCAAGTTGATCAATTGTTTAAAAATGTAAAACTCCATAGCAGACGTCAATAGATGTCAACAATTCCAGATCAAGATAATCCACTTAAATTAATCAATCCCCCAAAAAAATCTCCATTTCACATAAATCACTCCAACTATAAAAAAATTCATCATATATCAAATTGATAACAAGTTTTTCTACTAGATTAATGCATTAGTTCATCTTCTAATTTATGAGTTCAATTTTAATATAAAATTTTTCATCTGAATGTAAAATCTGCTCTATTGAATCGAGGGCGGGAATCGGTAGAAATATTGGGAAATGTCCTAAATGTTCTAGCCAAAAATGTTGCATTAAAAATCTCAATTTATTAATTTTTTCCTTTCAAACACTTACACAAAGAGCTTTTTTTTTGGTTTGCACATCAAGATTAAGGAGAAAAATTGACAAATACAATGGAAAGAGAGAAAGAGTGAGATACAGAGCATGAGAATAAGTGAAATCGAGAATATACATGCAGCACATCCTCACATTAATCAGAAAAATGCGATAGATATTTGGCCCAATAGTTCATCATTTCTACAGACAGTCACATAAATTTCATTTTTTTATATAGCTTATCTTTTATGATTTGACTATCTTTTTTTGGAAAGAAGAAAAAAGCGTAGTTTTTGAAAAGATTTTTCCAATTTTTATCATTATTATTATTCTTATTTAAACTTTATTTTCTTGTTTTAATTATGAAATGAGTGCATTTCTACTTTAACTATCATCTCTATTATATCATTTGATATCTTTGCTTCATTTATTTTGCTGTTGATTGGGAATTGTTGGAGATTTATAGCTGCTTGTTTGATTTGAACCTTTATTCTTAATTCTTTTGTAACGATTTATACAAATTCAAACTTATTTAACGAACTTTATCGATTCAAAAAATTCCAACGAATTTTTCAAATTCAAAAAAGAATCTTAACGAATTTTGAATGTTCAAAACTCAACGAAGATTTTAACGAAAAGTTTTCATAAAAAATCTTCAAAATCAAACTTTATTAGACTGAATCTTAATTATTTTGGCAAATATGACCTTCCACAAACCAAACTCTGTTAATTCTCCAGCAATTCCCACCAAAACAGCAATACCAGTTCTGTGTCACAACGTTCAATTTCATTAAAAATTCAATGTTCTACATTCAAATTCAAAAGTTTATGTTTATCAAGACTAATTTGTTTTCTTTATAGTTCCAATCAACACCATTTAATCATCAATAATATTTTGTTGTACTTCCAAAACATTGTGTTTTTAAATTAAAATATTTAATTTTCTTTTTGATATTAAAAACTTATTACACTCTCACACAGAATTTGTTGTTATCCATAACAATTGTTATCAATTTAATGTTGATCTTTAGCAGTTAAATTGTTGATTACATGTATTTTATAGTCATAGTAAATTTATTTATTTTTTATATCATTTATTGTGTTAAATATTAATTATAGTTATTAAATTGTATTGTTTTTAGAATTTCTTTGATTCTTTATGTTGTATCAGTAAAAATGATAATTAATAATTCATAAAAATCAAAAGTTTCCATCATTTAATCATGTGTGTATTGGTCGATATGAATATAATATATAATTCTTTATGTTTATAAATTTTATCTTGCATATATCGCGTTATTCATTATGCATAAATCGTTAGAATTAACTTTAAAAAAAATTGTAGAAATAATAATGTAAAACAAACAATATAGTCTAAGATAGTTTTTATCAATTTCTTTCTTTTTAAAAACGAGAACAATTAATAAATGCTATGGAAATTTATTCAGCATACCATAAATTTCCAGGCCTCAAATTTGCTGCCACCTGGGGACTGAGCGGAGCTCCAAATTGACCATATTGTGGGAATTGTATATGTGCGGGCAATGGATGAGTTGGCAACACCTAAAAATATTTATATCCAAAATCAGACACTAATCTATGGTTGTCAACAGGACGTAATCTGCTGAATTGGAAAGGTGTGGCAGTGATTTAATGGTTGCTGCTAGCAATGATTTTCTATAATATTCCCAAAACTATATTTAAGTTCTATGAATTCATAAGAAATTGCTACTAATACAGCTTTCTGCCACATCAACCAACCCTAGCAGTCACAAATCTGTTTCATACCTGCCGATTAGATGGATTGTGTGCAGGTGGTGGTGGTACAACTCGTGCATTATACGCATAAGCAGATGCCTGCGATACAAAAACAGTTGGTCGACGATAAAGCTCCTGAGCATAAATGTCAGGCTGTTGTGTCTGTAAAAGTGCAGCTGCACTTGGCGAATTTCCCAACGGTGTCGTATTCTGAGGCTGCGTACGATGATGATGGCTACTATGATGATGATTATGATGATGATGGTGATATATTGGTGTACTATTTAAAGAGGTAGTAGAGCTTGATGCCAATGGAAGTTCACTTTTTCCATGTGCTATTGGTGGCTGCTGTGAGCCTGAATTTGAATTTGATCCGCAACCAGCTGACTCACGTTTACTATGTATATGATGACTTTGATGAGCGTTCGGTGGCTGTACCAATGTTGTCGTTGTTGGTCCCACCCATGAGGATCGTTTTTGATGATCATAAGGCGGATATTCGTAATGAAGCGATGACGATGTTGAAAATTCAGCAGGCTCTTGCTTCAATTGATTTGTCGATGAGTTCGACGAGTTTGTTATGTTTGGATCGTTCTGTGTCATTGCCAACAAGCGTTTCTTTTGCGTTGCATGCTGTTCATATTTTACTATAAAAAAAAATTTAAAATTATTAGCATTTTTTTAATGTGTGTCTATAAACTGCCTTGAATCTAGCTAGATACTTTCGAAAAACATATAGTTTCAATCAAGTAAGAAGAGTCGCCTTGAATCAGACAATTGCCTGAAGTGCATTTTCTAATATTCAAAGCCTTACTGAAATCTAATTATATTAATCCGGCTTAACAATATTGTAAGTCAGGGCAACATGAAGCAGAGCAGTCCAATATAAATACCGAACTTTCTAAATTTAAATCGTTTGTTCTTGTTAAGTCTTCATGCTTACTTCCCATTCAAAGTGACTCATGGAAATTTCATACGAAAATGTCAATTAGTTCTTACCATTTTGATGTTGTTGCTGTTGTGGCTGTTGTGTTTTCGGACTCGTATCTTCTCCATCGCTATCACCGACTGTAACACAAGAAATGACATTCTTACGATGTTGACGTTGATTTGCATTGTTAAGATTAGTGCTGCTTCCATTATTGCTGTTATTGATAACAGACGAATTTTGGATCTCATTTTTATTATTACACTGCGTCTGCGACGCTTGTGTGGATGAATCACGAGAAGTCTTAGTTGCCGTTGTGTTTGTTTGCTGTTGCTGTGTTTTTTGCTTATGATTCTCGTCTTCATCTTCACTATCAGAAATTAAAATAACTGATGTTGGCGATGGCGTATCATTAATTGTTATGGTCGAATTAACAATTTGATGGTGCGTTGTTTGATTACGCTGCTTTCCATTATTATTTATTACAACGGCAGATGGATATGCTTGATTTGACTCATAATGTCCACCTGTTGGTTGCTGCTGATTCTGATTAGCATAGAATAATTGATTATTACTGTTATGATATTGATTCGTTGATGTTACTGTCTGCTGTGGCGATACATGATGGTGATATGATGAAGATCTGTGATTGTTGTATCGTGTCTGATTCTGCTGTACATTTTGGTGATGATGGTGATAATTTGGTGGTGTATTCTCCTTAACACGCTTCTTTACTGGCGACAATTGATTCGTCTCCTTCTTATCGTGTCGTGGAACATTCAAATGATGTACCGGCGACTCCTTCTTCTCATACTTGTGAATGCTTAACGGCTGTTTGCCATAAATCTCTTCAACATTATAGAATTGTGTTGAGTCAACGATAAGTGAGTGTGGTGCTGTTCCATGCTGTCCCCAAGATGGTACAATTGCTACTTGTCGTGTGCTTCCTTGTGGCCAAGCTACACTCGACTGAACAGCATTTGTGAGGAGCATTCGTTGACCATTCGGTTCCATTGTCATGGAGACAGGAACAGGAACATTTACGTATTGCTGTGGTGGAACTTGAATGGATGGCTGCATACCAGCATTACCAACGACAACATGCTTCGTTGGACTTGGCATGGGATTATATGGACAAATAAAGCTTAATTGAGGCGGTAGTACATCCGCTGCTCTCGTATTTGTATATTGACGTACAACATTACGAGGCGTACCGTAGGCAAACTGATAAACATTCTCGTACGATGCAGGATTCCTGTCTCGCACCAATCTCTGTACTTGATTTGTCAATTGATTATTAATAGTAAATGTCATATTTTCTGTTGTATTTGGTCCAAAATTTGTAACAAGTGTCGTAGTCGATTGCGGTACACTATGCATGACTGTATCACGTCTACATACTTCCATCATTTGAACACTTGCTTTAACATTATTACAATGTGCATAATCCACTAAATGTGATAACGTTGTAAATGGATGTCTTAATGCTTGTGCCGGCTGTATGCGACGCTCTTGATCTATTGTCAACATTCGCTTAAGCAAATCAATAAATTCACGACGATCCACCTTTTCTGCTAGTAATTGACTGGCTTCAATGTCAGTCTGAACATTTACTTGTCCAATATCGTCAAGACAATTGAAGATGTACTTTCGTGCCTCCTTACTCTTAACATTTGTCATAAGCTCATTCTCTTCGGGCGATATTAGACGCCAAAATGGATATGTCGAGTCCTCATCGCGATAGAAAAATTTCTCCGTTTTACTTGCGCTATTCAGCATATGTTCAGTAGGTAGACCTTGTGTTTGTGATATGTATCTACAAAAAAAAAAAACACATTTTGTATTAGTCGAGTGTCGAGTTTCATATAGCAAACTACTCACCTGATTTGATCATACTCAGATGAACCAGGATAGAGGGGCCAGCCCAAAAATAATTCTGCAACGACACATCCTAATGACCACATATCGATTGCTTCACAGAAAGGTAAGCCGAGAATAATTTCCGGCGCACGATAATAACGCGATTGTAAGTATGTATTACATACTGTCTTACTAACATGCGATGCACTTCCAAAATCAATCACTTTTACCCTATAAGATATTGATAAGAACATTGGTTGGTTGTTTTTGAGGAAAGAAAGGTGAAATTAATGTGAAAATTTGTTTTCGGTAAAAAAAATATATTTTTCTCAACACAAACAAGCGAGAAATTTGTTAGAATAGTCGTTAGATAAGATAATGTATAAACAAAACTTTATAAACATTTGATTGAGCGTATTTTCCCATTTATCAAGCGGAAATCATATTGATATTGATAAATTGCGCTTGAAATTTTTAACGAACTTTTTAGATTCGAATCTTGAAGAGTTTGATTATTATAGCTAAGCAGTTAAGTGCCTTGCTGGCCGAATAGGTAAGGCGCGTGGCTCAAATTTGGGATGGTAACTCGAAGGTCGTCGGTTCGAATCCAGCCATTTCCAAATTTGTTCTTTTTCGGAAGTTTAGATACTTCGACTGCTTAATGTACGAGATCAAGCCATAATTGGGCATTTGGGCAACGTTTGATTAAGGAACGGGTCAAGAACTTGAAGTGTAGCGGGAGAAATATTAACGAGAGCTACAAGATTACCCATGAATGGAATATTGTTAGAACGAACCTGAAAAGTATCACGTCACGCCCACAGAAGATCAAAACGAGAGCCTTAGTTTATTTGAAACCTAGATATGAATATTAGAAGTTTGATCCTACATAATACTTTTTCATATGTATACAAATACAAAAGTGAAAAATGTGAATTATTACCGGACAGTATGTCGTCAATAAATACAATAAAGTGCAATTCAAATGAAAAAAATAGTTTCACACCCCTGGTTGCTTACTTTTTGAAATTCCTGCTTGTTTTTAAAATTTTAATGCAACAAATTTGTGAAATCTAATAAATTTTAATTGTAATCACCTAGCCAGTAAGTCGACTAGTAAAAATAAACACAAAACTACACCGCTTTAAGGGAAAATGCGCATAAAATTTAATAATAATAATCATCATCACGACGATAATCATCATTCGACTATTTACAAAGAAGAAAAAACTTAATTCCCCGAAATATAAGCTAATTTATTTACCTGTATGGTTGGCGAACGGGATCAACAAGCATTATATTTTCAGGCTATAAAGAGAGATAATGTTTATCAGACAAAAAAGATATTAAATACACAAAAAAAACTTGATGCTTACCTTTAAGTCCGCATGAATCAAACCCAATTGCTTTAGCTTTAACAATGCTGTTAAAACCTGTAAAAAATAAAAAAAAAAATATTGCAAACAATTAATGTAATATTCTTATTCAATCAGCTTGTTATAACATTGAGCCATCTGCTTTTAATAGATATGAGAAGAGATTATGAAACAAGAAGAGGTAGAAAGACTAATAATTAATTTTCAATAACTCTTTTTTTTTTGCTATACACACGTTAGCTCGCACGTATAAGTATGAATATGAAGCATTTCTTTTTATAGAATGGGATATTCTTTTAAAAAGAAATAAAAAGTGACTTTTTCTGCCTTCCAATGAACTCCAAAGAAGTTGATTTTGAAATAAGAAGGAGAGGTTCCGATGTCTCACACTTGGCATTGTAAAGAAGTTAATGGACGATGAATGACTCTTAGGCTTTTAATGACTTTAAAGACAGTCAGAAAATTGAAATTTTGAATCAATTGACAACTTTAAGTTTTATAGTTTCAAAATTTAAATCCTTAATCGCTCCAAAGAGAACTTTAAAACTGTAAAATCAGATTAAAACAAACCATGACTCAGTAATTTTTAATAACTTTAACTGCTGTTAAGCTTTTATGGCATGAAAACTTTATGGTGGCCTTAGAATAGTTTTTTTTTATTTTTACTTAATATGAGAACAACAAAGCAATCAATCGTTATTGATTATTGGATATATTCGCGCTTATTATTGTTGATATATTATAGGAACAAAATAGATTATAGTTAACAAATATTTATAATGGATTTCTTGTTGCCTATGTTTATAGCTATTTGAGAGACATGAGGATATAAGCATAAAAAACTCGTGATTTCAAAATTTTCCATAACTTCAGCTTTTTCCCGCCAAACTAGTTTTTTCATATTCAAAAACAAATCTTATCAAATTGAATGAATCGAAAACCCCAAAAATTTGCACAATAGTTTTAAAAAAATAATAACTCATTAGAAAAATGAGGTTGACATAAAAAAAAATTGTGACAAAAAAGAAATTATAGACGAGGAACTTTGAAATAATAAAATCGTACGAACTTTTTTACAATCAAACTAAAATGATATAAAACTAAGGAAAAAATCGTGACTCATTCGAGCAAATGCTACACGGAAAGGAAATCATATCATGGAATTTTCCTAACAGACATTTCTTTGGGAATCCCACAATTTTATGGATTTTTTTTTCGAATGCGGTACTTTATGCTTCACACCTAGAGTCTTCGTTTGCGCAGATTTGGAACGGGTTTGAAGAATTTTAAGGATGAGCAATACAAAATTTTGGGTATTTTAGAGCCAGAATCCGAAATCATTTGGTATTTACTGGTAGCAATTGATCCAACATTATTACAAAATGGAGTTTTATAAATTTCCAGTTATCCACCAAGCTACAGAAGCAATGGCAGATTCAACTCTATATGGCTCGACACTATTCATTCAGAATGGATATTAGACCTTGGTTGATACTTCAACAAGACAAATTTCAGTCTTAGTGCATAGTCATGCATTTATCCAACAAAACTCAACTACATCCATTATTCTTAAATCTTAATCATCCTAATTATCCCCTTAAAAGTATAATTTTCAACATTAATCCACAAAAGTTGCACGAAAACCGCCACTTTAAGCATTCATCATGAACAAGTTCTCATTGCATACAATTCAATTGCCAATTTTCATGAACACAGTACGATTCTCTGTACCAAAACAACTTCACTACACTCAACTGTTGCATGACTAAATCTGTTTCGTACAACTCACAATTGTCGTACTTGTTTTTGTGTGTGAGTTGAGAATGTAGCACATCAAAGTCTCAAAAAAAATGAATTGAAAATTGAATCTCAAATAATTGCTTTAATCGTGAGAAATTCACAATTATTGATTTGAGATAGCATTAGCTTCTGGGTGTTCTTTTGAGGGACTTCTAGAAATTAGGGACAGTTTAAATTTAATCTTTAGACCCCTCAACTCCAGTCAATCTTCTCACATTAAGTGATTAAAAATTCATGAAAAAAAAAAACAGAACTAATGTTAAAAAGGAGTCACACCTAATATGTGAATAACCCCAACTAGAATTAACAGTTCAAAAAAATTAAATCAAAATCATGTTAATCCACCTAAGGTGAGGTTGTATCCATCAAAAATTAAGACAAAAAAAATCTCTCACAGTAAGAAAACTTCGTTAAAAATAAAACATTTGTGGAACCTCTACCAAGAAGAATAAGGACCACCACTTAGACGTAGGTGAAATGAACAGTAAGCCAGTAGCAGCGGCGCCATCGGAAAGAGTGAAACTTTTATTTTATAAATTTAGATATTAGATGCGAGATAGGAGAGATGCGATGAGCGAAAATAGCAACAACACTCGACTATGTTTCTCTTTTGTAGCAGCGTAGTCACTCGTCGCTGTACATTATTATTATTTAAATATACATGCACAATTGCATTATTCATGTTATTTTTTTTTTTTCGTTCGAATGCAATGCAATGCAGCAAAAAAAAAGAAAATGAATATGTAAAAGAAATCGAATCTCCGGGTGATGAACAACAACAATATGGGAAGAGTAGCTGTTGTTGTTATATACTTTATATATATTTATACGCAAATGAATCCACCTACCTGTTGCAAAATCGGTCTGATGTACTTCAATGGTAATGGCGAAAACTTATTCTGTTTCAGGAAATCATACAAGTTTTGCTCGAGCATTTCAAAGACGAGACATGTATGATTCTTGTGCTGAAAGCATTCGAATGCTCGTACAAAGTTAAATTCGTCAGCATTTTCTTGACTGAGGCGTGAGAGTATTGAAACTTCAATTTGTCCCTGACGCGCATACGATGGATGATTCTTGAGAATCTTTATGGCGACAATCTCGTTGGTTCCTTTTTTCCAACATTTTACAACTTGACCGAATGTTCCACGACCTAAAAACTCCAAGACCTGAAAAATAGCAAGAAAAATAATTTTATTAATTACAAAAAAAAAGTTTTTTTTCTATTTTCAAGCAAGTTTTGAGGCATTTTGTATGTATAAAAGGTATATTAGCATAACACAGTTTGAGTACGAAATTTTCATCGTGTTTTCATTTGAAGGTTTTTTTCGTACAAAGAGTTTGTTGAACTTTATTAGACCTGCATTTTCCAATTCAGCATTTTTTTGGATATTTTTTTATTATTGCTATTTCTTTTTCGTAAGCTAGATTTCCACATACTTTTTTTCATTTGTATTTAGCTGTTACAATTTCATTGTTAGGCTCAAAATCGATTTTAGGGCTTTTTCCTCTTATGGCTCATAGCTGAACGAGCAGAAAGAAATAAAAACAAAAGGAATGGAAAAGAATATGAAATAAAAATGAATGTCTTGTAAAGTTCCATTTTTCATACAGAGCGTATTGAGGTAAGAATTTAATACAAAGTGAAATTATATAGTGTGGTTGTAAAAAAAGCGGCTATTGGAATCGTTGAGCGAAAAATACAACACACAACTGTGTAAAGAAAGAAGTAAAAAATTATTCAAAAGAAAGGTTTTTAGAAGGTGAATGGTGATAGAAAAAGATTGGGAAATTTGACAAGATTGTCTGTGAATGTTGATGGATTGAGCGAATTAGCATAATTGAGTTATTTTTGGGGACACGATTAGTTTCAAAAGTTTAACGAACTTTTCGTTTTTAAAAATTTAACGAATATTTTTCTTTTAATAATTTAACGGCTTTTGAGTTTTTGATATGTAATCGAAACTTTTTGTGTTGAAATTTTAACGGATTTTTTTCAAGATTTAACGAAACTTTTGAAATTGAAACTATTAACGGATTTTTTCAAGATTTAACGAAACTTTTTGAACTGAAACTTTTAAAGGATTTTTCTCAAGATTTATTCAAAAAACTTGAGTAATTCAATCTGACATTTTACACTGAATTCAGTCTTAACCCGCTGAATTAATATTCAAATTCTAATCATTCTAATCAAAAGCCACAAATCAGAATCAGATTAAAAACAAATCATTGTCAAATTGGAGACTGCAATTCATCTATTTATTCATGTCAAACCTATCACCAAGACTGATAAGCATGACAAATCAATTTGTTTGCGTGAAAAATTAAACAGCAAAATTTTTTATTTTTGTGTCATTGTTAAATCTAACTGTATTTTTTTTAAACTTCAAATGAATTGAATAAAAGATTGATGAACAATCTTATTCATGAGATTCAATCACATTGTTATCTCATCTTTTAGTCATTAACATCCCATGAATATGTTGATTTCCTTCACACACAAAAAAAATTGCACATTATATAAACAAAAATTTTGTGATAGCAATTGCACAGCTTCTGTGTACAGTTTAAAGTATTTGAAATGCTCCAGTTTAAAGCCTTAGACATGAAGTTAGATCGAATCAGCAGCAAAAAAAAAGTGAGCTAAAGAGACAGTTGGTTTCAAATGTTAATGCTCTATAATTTTCGCCATTTACATCTCCCTTTCAGCCCCGATCTAGCTTCATTTTCTTAATAAACAGCAAGCCAGACTTTATCGATAGCTTCTTTTTCTTTAATTAAACTCGTCGTTGCTTGATATTTTTTATGTTGCTTTTCCATTTTCAAAAACACATTACGTAAATTCATTTAGGGTCCGTTCACATATTACGTTACATTTTTTAAGAAGGTCTAGGATTTATGACAATTCAAAAAATAATTTTTTGTTAAAATTTGTTCAACTGGGGGGGGGGGGGGGGGGGGGTGCGTTACGTTATATGTTAACGTGCCCCTATAGTTCATTTCTCTCAGTGCTGCCTTTCTCACTTACTCAGCACCGTTCAGCTCAGCTCGTTCATTTACTTTTTATTATTGCTAATATAAACTTTTGAAATATATATTTTATATATGTATGAAGAACTTATAGACTCGTCATCATCATGACTATCATCAGCAACGTCAGTTGGACATTGTATTGATGCACAGACGACAACGACGGGAAAAAAAATAAAAAATAACAACAACAAAAAAATTTCTGTTTGTAAAGTAATGCGACGTTGCCAAATTTTCTTAAACCATGCCATGTTAAGCACTCAATCATTATGTTGTGTGTTGTATGGTGCGTACAAATATACATAATGCTTCTAATGCTGTCTGTATGTGTGTCTAGTGGTCTTGGATTTTTGTTTTTTACTCTTCATTATGGTCAATATAATATATACGTGATATTTTGTTTCGGAATTTTTTTTAATCTTTACTTTATATTTTTGTTTTTGTGACGTTACATTAAGAAGCTATGAAAGTCGCACGTAGACTTCTTTTCGTCTTGGTAAGTTTTTTGTTATTTTTTTGAAAAAAATAACATATACTTATAAATTTACACAATTCTCTCAAATGGAAATTATGAAATTCGATTTTTTTTTTCGTATGTTTCATTTTTTGAAAGATTGCAATCAGCAAAGGGGAATTGAATAGAATATTATTAGCAGCACAACAGCTACTTCAAATTTTAAATTTTTTTCCTCTCGATCAATGAAATTATTGAAGCATTTCGCTCGATAGCTGACTGGTTGATGTTTATATTATACACCTCTGTATGTATATATACGAGAAATTGCGTTTGGGTCTTTAAGCGACACTACATTCTGCCGTTCTCTCTTAATATACTCAATAATAATAATAATAATAATAATAATAATAATGATAATAATACTTTATTTTGTTCAATTTTATTCCATTCCCCTTGCTTGCCTGCTTGCCGGGCTGTGTGTTTTTAACGTATTTTTTTGTGAATGAGCAATTTAAAGTTTGTTTGGCTGTTTTTCTCATCAAATGACCTTAAATTTTCGTTTTCTATTATTGCTAATGAATGGACGACATTCTTCAAGTAAACAATAGGCCAGCGGAGTTGGGAATTACGCAAGTTTTTGATGAACTAGTCTGTATTTCTAAGAAATTTGATGAAGAATTCTCTGATTTTATTATTTTGTGTAGTTTACTGGTATTCAGCACTGTTCCGCATAGTTTATTATTGTTCTCCTCAATACGCCACAATTTGCCATAGTTTCACTTTAATTAACACAATTCAGATGAATTTTTAATTACTTTGACTTAGTTGAGCAATGTTTTTCGTTTATTCGGTTCTATTTTTGTCAAGTTGAGCATCTTTTTCAATTTGCTCAATTGATTAGGATTATCTGGAACATTTTGTGCAGTTATATTGAGTTAATTCATCACTAATTATTTATTTTCGATTTTTAATAACAATTTGATTCAATTCAGCACATTTATTTGTTTATTCAGCACTATCAAGTTAAAAATAAACCTAATATTGCTCTGATAAGCTTTATTCAGAACTTTTGAGCGCAGTTCAGCACTATTTACCTCAATTTTGCTTAATTCAGCACTTTTAGCATTATTCAGCAGATATTTTAACAATTCAGCGCTGTTCAGCTCAATTGAGACGCTATCAAATTTAATTCAGTTCTACAAATCGTTTTTCAGCTGATTTCTATTCAATTCAGCGCTATTCAGCACAATTCAGCCCGACAAAATTGGTTTACAGACAAAACTTGTTTCAAGCCTTTAGAATTCTGCAACAAACTTACAAAATTATCAATATACAGCGTTATATTGCTGTAAATTATGAACATATATAATTTTCTGTCATCTTGAAAGCAGCTTTAAATAAATTATCAAGTATAGTCGCCTGTAAGCCAATTTACGATGAAATTTCATACTCATTTCTTCTATCTATACATACAATTTGTCTTGTTTTTTAACGAACTTGCTCGAAACGTGATCAAACATGATATAGACACGACACTCACCTCATATTGACTTGATTGTGAATATAGCACTTCATGTTGTACCAATTGATAGTCACCATCAGCGCTACTGCTCGATCTTTTACTTGTTGTTTGATTTGTGGTATTTCCACTCGTTCCAGCATTTGTGCCATTAGCCACTTTAGAATGCGCTGTCTTCGAACCGTTCGATGGTGCACCCATGTTTGTTGTTTGTTGTTGCGTTTTTGTCGTTGAATTTAATGTACTTGTTGTGCTGATAATAGTCTAATGGAAAGTTTATGAAAGAAGAAAAAAAATTAAAAAACTTCCATTTTTAAATAATATTTTGTTCGTTACAACTTACTTGGCTATCAACGCAACCACAATCGCAACCCGCATCAGCTGTTGTTGTTGTAAGGGAGAAAAGAACGAAAAAAAAAATAATCGTTAAAAATAATTTTCCCATATATTTTTAGAAAAAAATTTGATGTATATGCTTGGGGTAGGAATACAATTTAACTGTTTAATTGGAAATAAAAATTGAAGACTCGTCTGAAGAAGACTGGCAATAGTGTCAATGTGTGAAAACTTCTTCACCATCATGTTAACCAAAGGAACAAGTAGGAGGTATAAAAATATATTTTTTTCAATTTCCCTTCGAGTAACGAGACAATTTTATTACAAGCAAATGGGAGAGGAATCGAATACGAAAAAAGCAGAAGTGATGCAATTTTCCAGACATTTTCCGTTCGTAGCAAATCAAATTATTAGAATTTTTCAATCATATTACGTTGTAAGAGAAATATATACGGATTCAGAATGTGTTAATCGCATGAACTTTTATGGAATGCCATGTAGATAACGTAACATGATGAAGATGATGATGCCACTCGTCAGTTGTCAACTTGTTCTTATATAACAATTTCTTTAATCAATAAATATAATGTAACTAGAGTGGATGCTCTGTCGGGCATAACTTTGGTTTGTGTAATGGCTATTAATAATGCAACATGAGTTGTTGACATAAATTGTTATGTGTAATTTTGACGGGTTTTTTAGGTTTGAAAAGTTTTTGTTTTAAACTGATTGTTCAAATTTAAATTTTTGATGCTTGTGTAGCTTTAAAAAAAACTTTAACGACTTTTTAAAATTCAAAAAAATTTAAATTCATAACTTCAACTGATATTTAAATTCTAAATTCAAAAAATAAAATTGTAACGTATTTTAAGAATTTGAAAAATTATAATTTTGAATCTTCAATAAAATTCCGATAACAATTCACAAATGTTCCTTCCATATTGCCAATAAAATGACAAACAATATAAGAAAATTATACAACCATAATAAAATATTGTAATTGAAGATACGCAAACATGTCTACAGTCGTCGTTAATTGACTTTAAAGACTTGAAAAGGGATACTCCTTAGTAAATAAAAATAAATGTCATTGTAAATACGAATGTAAATTTTCTTACTTTACAAGTTTATTTTGTAAAATCATCGCCAATTTTTTTTGTTTAGCGGTTATGGCAGCAATTTGTCTGCACAAAAAAAGTTTATGTAATTGAAAGTTCAATTAACTTTGATAATAGATTATTCTATGACGCACATGGTACTTGTTGATAACGCACACACATTGTTTAATTTATTGTAAAAAAATAATATAACATTAAGCCCTTCCTCATGAATGGAAATATGGCAACAAGATGGTTACAAAGAAAATGATAAAATTTTGCGCCATACTTCATTATCATTTTGATAACCTCTTTTACTTTTTATATTTATATTTAATAATTCTCATCACACAGTCAGTCTTGTTCTTGCTCTTGTCGTTCTGATGCTGATTAAAAAAATTTCTCAAACAGAAATCAAGTTTAAGACTACGGACATAGCAACAACATATATAAAGCGATGGAAATAGTACACCCAGTGTTCATTGGCAATTGATTGATAAGCATTTTTGTCGGCGATAGCTATAGAACCATGCGGTGGACTTTAATAATGCAATTTATTATGATTCTAGATCATTCTTGATTAGAGTGTAAAGAAAATATTAGAAATTCGTGATAAAATATGAGTCATTCTGTAGATTACAAGCTTAATACTCATCAGACGAGAGGATTTGTTGATAAGCAAACTGTTTCTTGAGATATTGGGTACAAAACTCTGTTTTTTAAAATTTTATCTTTTCAGTCATTAATTTATCGTGTCTCGTTCCAATCATTATAAATGAAAATTAATGTTATTTATAGATCAATCAATTTTATATCCTAATTATTTGTTACTGAGGGGTACACAAGTATGTAAAATCAGCCTAGTTGTTAATCTATTTACTTAAACTTTATTCCATATTAATAAATCTTAAAGAAAATGTCTTGACAAAATTTTCCTCATAACAAATCAAATGTGAGAAGCAAAACCTTTAATAATTATGAAGATTTCATCATCAACTAACCACAATAAGATTCATTTTGCTGTTATTTTAAGTTACATGACTGTAAATGGCAACAGTAAATGCTTTATTTTGTTGCAATTGTATTTAAAAACCATTTAAAGTGTGAAAACTTGCTGGAATTCTAGAGTATTGTATGAATTATCGCTTAAAATGGACTGAAAATGAAGTTTGCGTAAAATTTACTAGAACTTGGGTCGTGGAACTAGCGGTGGAGATGAGAGAACTTTGTAAGCCCCTCCCCTCTTCAGTAAAAGGTAAACATCATTGATGAACAACCCATTTTCATCTACTTTCAATAAATTAACAAAGTTTTTTGATAAAATCAGTAAAATCTTCTTCCAAAATGTCCATAAAACCCACAAAACATCAAATGAACATGGGTATAACCTCAAGCCCATGTAACACAAAATGTCGACTATATTTTTACTTCAAAATTTAATTAAGATAATTGAATAATCCCAGAAAAATTCACATTAAGTTTGTTTTAACTCTAGCTCAATTTTCCAGCACATAAATGAAGTTTGAAGTTTTGATAATTTTTAATTTCAACCAGAAAACTTAGTCAACCATTTATAAAAGTAGAAATTTTTTGTGAAACCGCTGACGAAAGAACTTTTTTGTCACAATAAACAAATTAATAAAGCACGAAAAAAAGTGTAATTTACGCATTTTGGTAAAAAAAATAATTAAAAATTAATAACATTAGTCAATCGAGGGGTCGTTCGTAAATGATGTCTAATTTTTAAGGGGGTCTGATGTTAAACAACAGAATAAAATAGTGATGACCAACCCGTGTGCTGTGAAAAAATTGATGTATCCCACGAACCGTATGTAGTGTGCGGTTTGGGTCATGGCTTAACATCAGATGTGGCGTGCCACAAAAATAAATAAAATATTAAGATTGAAACTTGAATAAAGATTTGAGGGGTTTTAAAAATCTATGATTTCGATTGCCGTCATTTATGATTGACCCCAAAGAATTAAAAATGTTCTTATTTCACATTTAAACACACGTGTTGTTGTTTAGCGAATCATCACATTGTACGTATACATATAAACAATCCACACATCTGCACAGACCGCACTATACAAATGAAATATACAAAAATAAAAAATAAAAAAAAAATTATTCGCTGAGTATTTAAAAACACGAGTCGCATAAAGGCAGTGCCAGTGTTTTAAAAATAACTATAAATGAACAAAAAAAAAGTTTCACAAAAATGAAATACAAGTTGCTAAATTACAATTTTTCCATGACATTTCAATTCCAATGCCCTGCTTCACACCGCAACCTTTTTTATACTTAAACTTTATTTTTAATATTCATTCACAGTCGAAAAGCAAGAAGAAAAAGAAAAAAGAAATGAAAAAATTTCACTTCTGACTCGAGAGAGATCTCTCGTTAAAGAAATTGAAATAAGTGAACAGTTTAAGATAAGATTCGTTGTGTATTATGAGATGATTGTGACTTAAATTTTTCTGTTATCAACTTAGTGACACAAAGTCGGAGGCTTTACTTGAGAAGAAATGGCGATGAATAACAAATATTTGAATTTAATGATGATTTTCAACTTTTTTTGTTTTGCTTGAAACGGAAAATATAAAAAAATAAAAAACAAAAACTGACAAGACTCAAAAAAAATTCATAAAAGTTTACTTTAATAACGAAAAATTTTGTTATGAATTTTTTAAATATTTTCTATACATATTTATAGCTTCATGATATTTGCGGTCTGTGTTCCTTCAATGTCACACAAGAATTCGAACAAAAAAAATTCATAAAAACAACAAAATTATTAGAAAAGTCCTCGTGCTGTAAATTGAAGGACTATAGCGCATTTTCGAGTCAAAATTATTTTTGTATTATAACGTATTTTTGAGTTTTTAATTTGAAAACTTTTTTGGAGAGTGCCTATTGAATTACCGACCTTGAAAAATTCGAAACTTCATTTTTTCGACTGCCCCATTTTTTGATTTTTTTTCTTCGTAAAATTTTCAAATTTTTAAGAACCGTTAACTGCAAAATTAAGTTCATCGATTTTGAAAATTTGAAAATTATACGAAGAAAAAAAATCAAAAAAATGAGGTTTCGAATTTTTTGAAATTCGTTATTTTAATTAATAGGGACTCTTTTTTGGAGTCAGACTCCTTGTCTTAAAGACCTGCCTATATACATCCTTATTATTTTATGTTTTTTTTTCAATTAAATTTCTAAGCCAGTAATTCGAATACGTCAAGCTAATTTTCGAATCATAGCCTAACGTCTCATCGCTTGTTTGTTATGTCTCACTCAGCCAGCCAACCAACCAAACACACAATATAACTAAGTTCAATTCATTGAAAAACAACCAAAAAAATATTTCCTAATTCCCAAATTATATTCTCATCATACCACTATCGCATCCGAATAAGTATGGACCTCGAATATTACTGGCGATAATAATTTAAATAAATTAACGAAACAAAATTCGATTATAGGTTAAAAACCACTGTCTGAGCACACCAAAAAGGAATGGCGTGATGTTTACTAATGTGGAAAACCCTCTCTGTCATCCAAGTTTTGCCTTAATATGCTCACTCTGCTTTACAACTTTAACTCTTTGTGCGTATGTTTTTTTTTTGGTGAGAAACTAGTGCTTTAAAATTTAGTTAATTTTTAATTCGACATGAAGCTTCGCTCTAAACAACAATCTCGAAATCTCCAATAACTTCTCACCTCTATCAAGGTTAAAATTGTGTTGTGTTTTTAAGGAAAAGTTTAATCATTGAATATATATTTTTTGTATATAAAACAAAGGCAAAACGAACATTTTTCGTAAAATCGTTATTGGTGATTATTATGCGCACCCTGCCTTTTTTTTGCTCAAGACATCTATTTGAAGGCATGGTAGGAGAAGAAATGTTACCCTTAGTTGTAGAAAAATACAAAATTTTTAAACTGAATATT